CACTATTTGCCTATAGGCAGAGCCTCTGACATGCTGCAAGCACGTTCAAAAAACTGTTAGCTTGTCTTCATATCATATTTGATGAGTTGCATAATACAATATCACATTTCATTTTCAACACAAAATGACTCCCTATGCAAATCCTGACCAAGCAAGTAGACAACGCAAATTTTTCAAAAAATAAGATGGCATCAGCATAATTCAAAATTTTTTGTTCATTCCAAGCACAAGCTGGCCAAGTTATGCTGCCCATTGGACAGGACTTTAAAAATTAAATGTCTTCCGCCTGCGCAAAAAAAAACTGCTGATCTGCCATTTTGGTTGGTTTGTTGTGGTTTGTGCATCATTTGTACACATGCTTGCTATAGGTACCATAATATAAAAGAATATGATCTTATGACATTTTGAACTGATCAATGCTTCTTTACCGACTGCTACACAACACACTAGCACCTTCTCAAAATAGAAGCACCTTCCCCTTACTAAATGAATGAAAGAGGCGGGCTAGCATCATGTTGGCAGCAAGCTGCGCTAGTAGCTGCAGCAGCTTCATCAAATAATTTGAAAGTAAAAGGCCTTAATGAAGTCTGGTTTCAAGTCTTTAGGAGCTTAATTCAGCTTAAAAAATATAAAAAATTTACATGCTGTAAGCTTCTGAAGCATATTGTCAGATCAAAGATCCCAGACCACCTTGACCAAAACAGCATTCTCAACAATGCACAGCACAACTTCTGGAAGACAAGGTCATGTGGAACCCTGCTGATCCTTACATTCAATGACCTTGCAGTGGAGGTTGACAGAGGTGGCCAAAGACTAATGGTATGATCCTGCTCAATTTTTAGATGGCCTTTGACAATGTCCCTCATCAGTGGCTACTCTCAGAGCTGGACTATTATGGCATCAGGGGCAAGACCGAGAGATGAATTTCCAACTTCCTCTCACACCACGAAAGTCATTGTGGATGGTGAGAGCTCTAACACATCTGGCAAATGGCATTCAACGTCAAGAAGTGGCAGCACAGGAAACGACATGAGAATAGTACAACTCTCACTAACAAGAAAGAGGTACCAATAACTTCCAGTTATACACTGCATGGATATAGGCTGAAAGCTGTCACAGACGCCAAGCCTCTTGGTGTTACCTTCACCAACAACCTGCATTTGGGAACCATGTTCAGTCCATTGCAGCAAAGACCTCAAGGACAAGCACCTTCACCCACTGGAATATGAAAGGATGCACCACATGCGTCCAGACCCACTGCTATCTATAAGGGCATCTTCCAACTGATCCTAGGGTATGCATTGTGCATGTGGCACAATGCAAATGTGTGCACTCACTCCAACAGTACCTTGTTACCACATTGCAGGCAGTCCAGAGCAGATATGCAAAAAGTATCTTTGTGGACTTCAACAATCCGCAGTCAGGTGCTTTATTGATGGTGGTGATATTAGATCTGAAGCCCCTCATGCAGAGAAGAGCAGCAGGCGGAGCCATCATGATGTACAAAATCGTGCATAAATTTGTTGACATTAATGCCCTACCTGGGAGGCTTCAGCCTACTGCCTGCTTTGCCAGAAGCCTCCAGCAGAAGCTTATAGTGCTGCTAGCCAGAACAGACATATACCACCACTCTTTTGCTTATGGCACCAGGTTATAGAATTTCCTAATCCAGGAGGTCGTGGCTGCCCCTGACCTGACTGCCTTCATTACAGCAGCAAGAGGTGCATACTTATACTTGCCGAGACCTTTAAAAAAAATTTTTGTGCATATTGAATATATTCCTTTAATACATAGACATGATTATTTTTCTTTGTGATGTAAAGCCCTTCCTCCAGCCTCAGGGGCAACCACTTTTCTTCAATAAAAAAGATTGAAAATATCAGTCAAGGACACCAATTCATGTACCTATTGCCCAAGGACTTGTCTCTTAGGCTTAAGAGGCTAGTCAGCAACAAGCATTTTGTGAAACCAGTGGCCAGTCATGTGGGTCTGTGATCACAAAAGCTGCATTATAGCCAGCAAGCCAATTTGTGTTAGGGCTTGTCATAGCAAGGTATGGTGAAAGATTGATCTAGATTTGAAATATACTATCAAACCGGGTAATAAGGGACAGGCAGGGTAAATCGGGACAGCTGTCCGGCAATTTGTAGAAATGTTGTAGCAGCTAAAGTAATCAAAATATTGCAAAGCTTAAAGTAGTGGTGTAAATTTAAACATTTTTACCATCTATGTAGCTAAGAGTAAGTTGAGTAATCATACATTTACTACCTCTAAAAAATCTTTGAAAAAAACTGTGAAAAGTGAGATTTTGGAAAAGTACCTCTGCTAAGGTTTGCTGCAAAAAAATATTCGCCATATTAAACAATTTTACTTACATAAAAGTTGCACACAGGTGCTGGCTTAAAAACGTGATTGACAGAATTTGCTTATCTCATTCCAAAAAAATAATTTGTGGCCATTTCCGCATGACGGGGTAATAAGGGACACCCCCCCTGGGTAATAAGAGACACCCCTAAAAATACATTTACAGCAGAACCCCAGCTAGCAAAAGCTCCAGTTAACCTAAAAATCAATTACAACAAAAAAGTTTTGATCACATTTACCTTGCTCATCAAAAAAATTTCATTTAACAAAAATTATTGCAATCGGTCATCACAAAATTGTGCACAGAATGTTATAGATAGCATTGTGCATTGAGCAACATAGAATGAGAAGTAATTAGCCTGAACTATGATTTATATCTCCAAAAAATATTATAGTTGCCATTAAAATATTCCTTTCTGTTTCAGGTATGTTTTTACAATCTTTTTTTGTTATAATGAATTCAATAGACCCAATTAAAATGGTGTGAAATTACTAGATGTCCTATAAGCTTACAGATACAGAAGAAATGCTACATGGCTGCTGATATGAGCTTGCAGTGGACAAGGTCGTTGTAAATGCACAATGGCGTGTTCATGGATTTGGTAATATCACATCAATAATATGATAGTGTATGATTATGGTAATATCATATCAATAATGGAAAAACAAGTAAAAAAATAGAAAATGTCATTTATTCTACATGTACATCTTCTACAAAGGAAGAGGACTTCAGGGTACTGTTAGTAATGGATGAAAACACTCTGCAGTCTGCAAGCTTCAAACATTCTAAAATTAAGTTTTATTTCAAGTGTCCTAGATTACCCCATTCCCAGGGGTAATTCAGGATGCTTTCATTTTGCATCTGGCACCTTACAAATAGCATATGGAATTTTTTTTGGAGATGCCATTCTATAGCCCTCGCAAAGAGCTTTAAAATGAGTTCAAGCTTGTTTATGAAATGTTCAATGGTAGGAAGTTTTTAATTAAAAAAGCTCAAAACCACGTTTATTACCCCGTTTGATGGTAGGAGAGATTTTGTGGGGAGCCAGAAACTATTTTAGTTTTGCTTTTAAATGTTCGACGTCAGTTCAATGCTAATGTTCAAGCTTGAACTCTAGCTGCATATTCTTGTTTTTCTAAAACTAACTAAAATTTAAGGGCAATATTGCATCAATGTAGGGATGACATTGTGGCATTGAAGTTTTTTATATCTAAATACATTTACTGTGTGCAGGAACAAGATATAACGTTGAAGTCTGTCAGCCATTTTTCGACAAATTAAGCGAGTGTTGCCTCCAGTTTTCTGATCGCTCTGATGCCTGTGGCAGTGAGAAGCAGAAACCAGCTGGCTAATGGAGCCACGCTATAATTTATCCCATACAACGAAAAATTAATAATTGAACATATTTTGTATTTCTTACCATCACAAGTGATGATATTCTCTCAGGAAACAAAAAAAAAAATTTTCTCGACATTAAAGGGTTAATATTGTTGCAATGTGAATTTTATTGTGTAGAATTTCTTATTGCAGTAAAGAAATTTGGTAACTTGCATCACGTCCTTGAAATGGTTTCCTTTTTCAGGTGATCATCGTGTGACTTGCTAGGCATGTCCAATCAAAAGGAGACGACAAAGGTGCCTCCAGTGTCCAAGAGTCAATCACCAGGACATGAGTGGCTGTACAACAAGCCTGCTCTTAAGACCAGAACTCAACCTCGCTTTGATCCCGCATTGGTGAGAATTACGCCCTGGATAAGATGCATCTTGTATTAAAAAATTGAGTAATGCATGGATTTGATAATTACCCAACTATTCTGATTCAAATATGTTTCTGATTTTCAATAAAATTTTAGATATTGTTGTTGGTTTTTTGGAATTTTGAGCTGGTTGCCATATTTTGGCACGAGAATGTTTAGCGGTGCATTAATTTAATAATTACCAAAGCACTTTGATTTAAATTTGTGTTTTAATTGTCAATGAAAGTATTTGTTGGTTTTGTATGGAAAATTTTTTCCACAGAACGTTCAATGCTTTGTATATGACGTTCAATGTCCACTGCAAAAAAGATAGATAAATTCATTATCTGATGATGGTTTTCTCTTCACAGTACTTGAATCGTCCTATTCCGATACCTAAACCGGGCAAGACGAAAAATTGGATTGCAAAAAAATTCGCCCAAAACCCTCGACGATTCATGATAATTAGCACTGCTGGTTTTGTTACTGCTTTTTATGGTGGATTCATTTTCGATATATTTATCTTTCCTGCGATTGATTTAGCCCAACAGGCCAAGGAAGCATTTCTCCCAAGTTCCCTGCAAAATTTTACGGGAACTAAAGGTGCACTTTCTGTCGTTGCCGAGCCAGCAAAACCAAGTGACATCTAATGAAGGAATGAAAAAAAGCTTGAACTTAACGGCCTTCGTAAATGGATTCGGTTCGGAAAGCTCGAGAGAGATTCCGGAAGTTTCCACTGCTTTTGAAGGAGTGCCATGAGCCTGCTACTCGGTATGCTAGATGTGTTGCTCTTAAGCAGAATGTCCTCAAGGATGACTGCGCTAAAGAGTTTGCTCTTTTTAAAGAATGCATCTTGAAATCTGCAAAAAAGATGAGTACCAAGTATTAAGTGCTCATGTATGTCTAGCTTGAAGGGATCTAGTTGATAAATTATTAATGTTGATTATAGTACGGTATATATTATTATTTAGTTCTTTTTACCGCTACGAAAAAATTCTTACTTCATCTGAGATTTTGATTTGGACCAGATAGTCAGAATGGGACTGGAAGTGTTAATGTCTAGACAATATCCTCATCTGATTTTAGCTGGCTTGGTCCGTATTGGGCTTATTATATACGGCGTGTATCACGACAAGCACAACGCTGTGCCGTACACCGACGTCGACTACCATGTCGTGACCGACGCGGCGCGCTACATCAGTGAAGGCAAGTCGCCGTTTGCTCGTCACACATATCGCTATACTCCATTCCTGGCCTACCTGCTCCTACCAAACATTAATTGCCATCCAGCGTGTGGTAAAGTCTTGTTCTGTATCCTTGACTTAGTTGCAGGATATCTCATCAACTGCATAATCCGCCTTAAGCAACCCGTTCACGTTGCTGTGCGCCACTCCTTGTTGTGGCTGTACAATCCACTGCTGATTGCTATCTCCACCCGTGGCTCTGCAGAGTCTGTCATGGCATGTCTCGTGCTCCTCATAATTTACTCCCACTTACAGGGCCGTGTTGTGCTCACGGGTTTTGCACTCGGCACTGCGGTGCATTTCAAATTATATCCCATCATATACAGCCTTCCGCTTTACCTGTCTCTCGAACAGCAATCTGTACACTCGTGGGAATGGTTTCGTCCAACTCGTAAAAGACTTCATTTAGTGATGTCTTCTGGAATTTCTTTTATTCTGCTCACGTACGCTGCCTACTTCCTCTACGGGTGGGATTACATAAGTGAAGCTTTTCTGTATCATTTATCGCGCGTAGACACTCGTCATAATTTCTCTATCTACTTCTATCTGATGTATTTGACTGTTGACCAAGTGATCCCTGGCCTCGGGCTAGTCACATTTGCCCATCAGCTAGTGTTGGTGTTAGTGTATGGAATCGCCTACTCTCACCGTGACCACATCGTGCTCGCGATGTTTGCTCAAACGTTTTCGTTCGTTACGTTCAACAAAGTGGTCACATCGCAGTATTTTGTGTGGTACATCGTCTTCATACCACTACTTGCAAGTAGCTTGACTTTTTCATGTCGCAAAAGCTGCTTGCTCTTGGGGTTATGGCTGCTCGCTCAGGGTGCGTGGCTGATGCCGGCATATTTGTTCGAGTTCCAAGGCCTCAGCGTGTTACTTCCTATTTGGCTTGAAAGCATCGCATTTTTTTGCTGTAATGTAGGAGTTTTAACTGCAATTTTGGGAAGCTACTGGTCAAAACACGAAGCAACCGCACAATATAAAATAAAATAAATGTTTAATCTGGATATTTGCGGTGTGTGGAAATTGTTAATGAGTTGCCTATTATGATGCCGAAGAGGTATCTTCGACATGATCGATGCATCACGCCTGATAGATCACATTCTAGTGACTCGACTTTCTACCAAAAAAGCTTAACTGACGTTTCTCTGAAAGCTGTAATTACTACACATAATATGTCCAGCTTAGTGTGATGATGTAAGGTTTTTTCATGTAATATTTAAACCTATCATCTATGTTATAGAACGTGAGGCGTTCGTATATGGTCGATGTAAAAAGTTTGAGAGAAAAGCTTCTTCTTTTCCTTGGCCTGAAGTCGTTTCGAGGGATTACAATCAAATTTCAAGCGATTTTTGCACATCTAATCAAGAACCAACAGAGGGCATAAGTGTTACAGTTACGAACGCGACATTGGCATACTCAGAAATTACATCAGAATCACCGACCTGTATTAATACAAAAATAATTGGAAATAGGGATGGCATTTGCGTACGAGGCCTAAGCGGAAAATTCATTAATATTAGCGTAGCTAAGACGATAATTTAAAATAGTTTGTATTCATTTGAACCATCTAACCATTCACAGAATAATTCGAAGGTCACACCCTTAAGAGTAAAACTAGTCTATGGCTTTGTCTGAAGACGACCTAAATTTCATCAAGATCAGCTAAATTAATATACAGCGCATATTAAATCGCCCTATAACTCTAGAAATAAAATGTTTCATTAGGCCGACTTTATAGGGTTGCACTTCCATACTATTTTACTCGAGGTCAACTTTAACATGTTCTTGGTAAATAGCATCGCTGTCGTTTCGCAAAGTTGACCGAAACAAAAGTTCCTGATGCCATATGTTATGAACAATGATGTTACAGGAGATGATGCTTCGAATTTAACACATTAATCGAACAACCAAATTCGAATTGTAGGTTTTTTTATGTCCAAGATATCTCAATTCATCCGTATTAAAGTTACAGAACAAGATCTTGAGACAATTTATATGTGATATTTGACATCAACCGTAGCGATGGAATTAATCGAGGTAGTACAGAACCTTCATGTTTAACCATCAAGCGGAACATGAGAACCTTCGTTTTGAAGATTGCAAACCGCTTGTCCCAAGATCGACCACACTTCATTCGCAAGAAGCCTGACAAACATGTTAGTCTTAAATTAAAGTGGTGTGCAGAAGGAAGTGGGAAGTCGTCGGTGGACTATTAGTTTGGTTTAGTTGCCACATGTTTACTAGTGTTTCAGCTGTTCAACTATCTCGCACCGAAAGTCAAGATGAACATCACCAACGAGATGGAAGGTCTCAATTACAGGTTTCTCAAGTCAAAAAAAATTGTTCATCACCCACAACGAGCGGAAGGTCCCAATTGTCCAGCCCGCTGAAGGCTCGAAAGAAGCAGCGTTAGCATCTCAAAGAGACGAAGTGACAAGGAGGGACAGGTGAAAAGCAACAGAAACGAAGACACTCGAACAAGACGTCTCTTACACGGGACGTCGGCCGCCCGCGCGAGAGAGACAGAGAAGGGAAATGTAAGGAATCCTACCTACATAGTAACTTAATGTAAGGTATCCTACCTACATAATAACTTAAACCCACAACTGAGACCCACAGATACCGCGAGCTCAGTGGTGGGGAGCACAGGAACTATGACCCTAGAGGCGCGAAATCCTATAGGACTTCTGACGAGCACAGACACGCGTCAGAAGTCCCCCCCTGAGCGGCCGTTACAACTATTATTTACTGTAACTATTAAAATTACAGTAAATCGGACCGAACAAGTGTAAACTGTACGGATCTCGCACATTAGTTCATGAACCTCAGCTGAAAAAAATTCGTATGCTCAAGAAATCTTCGCCTTGAATTCGCTAAGAAATAGTAACAAATGAAGTAATTTAGTGGATTAGTTCAAAACGGCAGGGTCAATGTTAGTATAAAAAATATACGCTAGATATATCAAGCCAGATTATTCGGTCCGCGGACCAGTTCTAGCGCTCTAATATAGTGATATTCTCATTCACTGGAAGAATTTTAAAATAACTCAAGTAAACAGAAAAAAACCTGCGGCCTTCACCGGATGTTCTTCATTCAGTTCAACATGAACGTCTGTCGTCGCGTCATTCCCATCATGCAGTCTATCAGACTATCTACACTAAATACATGAAACTTTACACATGAATAACTCTAAACACACATCCCAAAGATATGTACAAAAATATATGACTTTCAGATGTTCATTTAAATTTTAAAACTTCAAAGCTTAGCGGATAAACTTGAACGCATGCGATTACGCACGAGTTCAAAAGCTCAAAAAATTGTTTCTTGAATTCAGAACGAGTTAGAATGAGAGGACAGTTCTCTCCGCTTCACTGGTTGCCTATCGCACCCGAATGGAACGTTGAGAAACGAGCATGGAGACCAATAGTTACGTTTTTGATCGCTCGATATGGTATGGAATTCTAGGTGTCAATGTTAATAACATTTAACTATTTACAAACAATTGATTAAATATACTGAAATAAGCAATTTAAAAAGCTCGAATCACTTTAGTAAAAAGGCAACCTCTCATCTCGACGCGCAGTTCCGTTAAAATTTACTTCAAGACGAATTCAGTGGAGCGACCACATAAACGAACAACACAGAATCGCTGAGCGACAGGCTCCCAGAAGAGTTTGAACAGATCATGGATCATTAAATAGCAAAGCCAACGCCGCGTAACTAGCTGCCGCAACTGAACGACGTACGTCAGCAAAAAAAAAAATCGCAGCGCTGTGATTTACAATGATCTGTCGATGAAGGCTAGCCAGTAATTGTAATATAACACGAAATATATCTTCTCGATAATAGAATAATATTTATACATGAACTTTAGTCTTTCTGAACATATTTTAAGCCAAGCGCACATCGCAATCTTTATAAGAAGACTACCATGAGGAGACTTATGTAGAAGATTAGATAGGTAATGAAGCTCACTATAATATCTTATCTCGTATTACTTATGTTATAGAAACAACTGCGAAAGTATTTATAAAGTGGTACTTTAATGTTGTAGATAACTATGAAACATATGTTACATACCACACTAGTACAAAATAAATGAATCAAAATTTCTCACGAACATAATAATTGATCTGAGACTTGACAGATCGAAGTTCCATCCCATTGCTAGTCCATAATTTCTTTAAAAGAAGTTAAATCTGTAATTAGAATAGTTGTAAATTCCATTCAAAATGGCTATGAAAGTCAGATAGACAACTGAAACTGCATCTATTTCCCATGTTAACCTGGGAATTAAAAAAATGATCAGATAAGTTAGAATATATACAACGTACTTAATTTCTTAAGAAATGGAGCTGAAACAAAACAGCATTCTTCAACCAGCAATCTACTAACATCACGAATCGTTGATTCAAAACTCTTATAATCACACGACACTCCGTCCAATCTGACTCGAATTGGAGAAAAAAGATTAGTGTGGCGCAACAGCCGGGAGCTGAGGAGCAGAGCTAGCAAAGGTCCTGCAGCAGAGGATGCAGATCATCTGCAGGCTCCTCTGGCGTCCCTTCCCTCATGCGCTTGTAGCTCCCAACGCTGGGAAATAAAAGGTAGTTCAGAAATAATCACTAGATTAAAGTATTGGATAGAGCGACGAGTATATACAGCAGCAGCCATCGCCTACACATCATCCAACACGAGTATATACAGCAGCAGCTATCGCCTACACATCATCCAACACGAGTATATACAGCAGCAGCCATCGCCTACACATCATCCAACACGGGTATATACAGCACCAGCCATCGCATACACATTATCCAACACGGGTATATACAGCAGCAGCCATCGCCTGCACATCATCCAACACGGGTATATACAGCAGCAGCCATCGCATACACATCATCCAACACGGGTATATACAGCAGCAGCCATTGCCTACACATCATCCAACACGAGTATATACAGCAGCAGCCATCGCATACACATTATCCAACACGAGTATATACAGCAGCAACCATTGCCTACATGTCTAAATGAAGATGCGCCCCACGTTTTTCGTTTTAGATGTTGTAAAATATTTTAACTGAAATACAAAAGACCAAGAGAATGAAATCAAACGGAGATCAGTAGCTGCCGAAAAATTATTTTCTACTTTTTAGTCCACATGAAAAACGTGGTCTTTAAAAAATTTTTTTATACATGTTATTTACCCATAAATTAATGTTTAACGTCCCTGGGTGACGGGTGAACGCAATGGATGAATGTGCCTCTCATTAATCCATTACGCGTTTAATTAAGTAGCGTGACTCACGTGCCTCTCATTAGTTCGTTACATTTTTAAGTAGCGTAACTCACGTGCCTCTCATTAGTCGGTTACACTTTCAAGTAACGTAACTGACGTGCCTCTCGATCATTAGTCCATTACACGTTACTCATTAGTGACTCACGTGCCTCGTATTACTTAACTCGTTCTTTGGATACACTAATTAGCGTCCATGATATTGTTATTAATTCATCATGCTCACTGGAGTAATCGTACGTTAAGGAATAACATTGAATGAATGGCAATGATAATCGATTACAAGGTGATTAGCATCAATTTAATTGAGATTATAATTTTAAAATGGTGATTATTTCCATTTAAATTTAAATCGTTTTCAATCCCATGGTGACTAACATCAGATATTTGGTGATAATCATCTATTCAGATAAGATTCTTGCCTGCACCTGCTGGAGACCCACCCTTGACCCACATATGACCCACCATGAACCCACGTTTGCCCCAATCTTGACCCACCTTTGAAGAAGTATCGGAACATGGCAGCCTCGGCCTCCACAACTTCGTTGCGTCCCGCGCACAGGCGAGCTGGCCCCGCCATATGCGGCAGCCTGCGGTCGCACAAACTAATTATTATTATTTTGATGCATTTTTTGTGTCTTTTAGTCAAGCACGTAATACAATTTTGGTACCAGTAGGGAATTTTTATGTGTATACCTGTCAGAGGGAGAGGGGGGTAATTGATGAAGGTGGCGCTGGTGTGTATTGAATATTGGTTCAACCTGGCGGCACGTATTCGATGACCATGTGAGGGATAAGTAATATATAGAGTGTATATTTCATATTAATATTGATACGGGGTGGTTACGTTACTGAGTTATTATAGAGGTACAGGCGGATACATGGTAAGCACCTTCAACCGCCAGGCCGAGGTACAGCAAATACAATGAATGCTACATCGAGGCGCTTGTGCAGGCTACTGGAGCCTTATTGAAGTGCCCAGTCC